TGTAGGTGGACGGGACAGAGCCGAAAATATTTCATGTGTTAAACATCGGAGGTCACTGTTGTAAAGTAGCAGCTAAGGAGTTTGCAACAGTCCAAACCAGAACGCAGATTAAAATCAAGAAGTGCCTCGCAATGCTGGTAAAGCCAAATACTCAAATAATTGGCCTCATTTTGACTGTGACCTGACAGAAGACTGACTTTTACAAGGTTGCCAGCCCAGTTTAATTGCACAATGGGGACACTTAGCCATGCAACTGTGGGACGCCTTTATTGTTCACCGGAGGGAGCTCCCATATTTGCATTTTGCAGCCATTCTGAGTGGGAGCAGCAATTCAATGCTGTCAGTGTTTTAACTATTTTGCTGAATGTTCAACAATGCCTGCCTTCTGCCCCTAGCTTACCACTACATTCTGGTCGTGCATGTTTTTGTCATTCCCCTGCAATCCACACTTTCTAAAGCATACACTTGTTATACGCAGTGCTCTGCTCGACTCCTTCTTTAACAGACCGAGGTGAATTAAAAACATGGTGAATTAAAAACTTCCAGTGAAACCAAGAAATGTAGATGTTGGAAATCTGAAACAAAAACAGAAATTGTTGGAGAAACTCAACGGGTCTCATAGCATCCGTGGGGAGAAAGCAGAGTTAATGTTTTAAGTTAATTTTATTTTCTTCCCACAGATGCTGCCAGACCTGCTGAGTTTCTCCACCAATTCCTGTTTTTGTTCAAGACTTTCGATGAAGTATAAGTTTTTATTTTGGTAAACCTACAGTTTAGCACAATAGCGTTAACAAGGTGTAGAGCTGGATGAACACAGCAGGCCAAGCAGCATCAGAGGAGCAGGAAGGCTGACGTTTCAGGCCTAGACCCTTCTTCAAAAATCAATAATCAGTTTCACAATAATCACAATAATCAGTTTCCAGCTTTCCCCTCTGGACCCCTCCCTATTTAGAAGTCAACTCCTCACTGGGGAAGAACCCAGCTCTGTTTTTATATATAAATAAAGCCCCTATCAAATTACTGCAACATCAACTAACAAACAAACACTAGGGCACCCAGGTTAGAGACAAAAAAAATTGCAGCTGCTGGAATCCAAGGTGGACAAACAGGAGATTGGAAGAACACAGCAAGCCAAGCAGCATCTGGAGGAAAGCAGCACTGAACATTTTGGGTATTATCCTTCTTCAGCCCTGAAGAAGGGTTGTACCCGAAACGCTGACTGCTCCTTCCCTCCAGATGCTGCCTGGCTTGCTGTGTTCTTCCAGCCTCCTGTTTGTCTAACTAGGACACCCAGGCATGGACGATGCAGCAGGAAAGAAGCAGGCAGTCAGGAGTTACAATCATTTTCACAGCCCCCTGCCTGATTGATGGTTACTTTAGTCAGGCCCAGGAGCACAGCTCTGACTTGCCTGGGTGTCCAAAGATCAGGAGCGTGGAGCTAGAGTGCAAGCAAAAGACCCCAACAGCCCACAAACAACATACTCCACAGTGCCACAGTTGGCCCAGGGAGGCCATAATCCTCCTTAAGATAAAACTCTATCTTCATACATGGTTGCTGCATGCACCACTCTACACCCCAGGTCCCCAATGGAAGACTCCTTTTTTCTTTTTTACTCATTCACAGGATGAGGGTATCAGTGGCTAGGCCAGCATTTATTGCCCATCACTAATTGCCCAGAGGGCATTTAAAGTCAACCACATTGCTGTGGGTCTGGAGTCACATGTAGGCCAGACCAGGTACGGATGGCGGATTTCCTTCACTAAAGGGGATTAGTGAACCAGATGGGTTTCTGACAATCGACAACAGTTTCATGGTCATCACTAGACTCTTAACTCCAGATTTCCAGTGCTTTTGTTTCTTTTAACCCAATTCACAAAAAAAACAATTATCTACCACTGACCACCAGGGGCAGTGTAAAGACCTTTACACTGAATTAAACCATCACCCAATCACTGGTTCCATCAATTAGAAATACAACCAACAAGGAATGGGGACAGTGTGGCAACAACAGAAATGGGGCATGGTAAGGTGAGAGGGATGGAACTAAACTGAAATGGAGTTGGAGGGGAAAAATAATGCAATGCAGCCCCCATGGTACCCACTTTTCTCAAAAGGATTTGAGGGTGAGAGCACAGTTTATTTTTGGTTACTTTATCCGAAAGGGCACACAACTGAATGGTTACTTCTCCCCATCACCAAATAACCTATGCTGTTTCTTCATCTATTAACAACCACCATTAAATCACCCGGTTTTCCCAATTGATTCATTTACTCCCAAAGCCCATTAAGGGCAATGCAGGCCACCAAAGGTGGGGGCAGAGGTGCAGCGAGGGGCGGGGGGAAAGGGGAAAAATCAAAATGGAGCTGGAAAGAACAGAGCCCTCAATACAAAATCCAATGAGCACTACCTGCTCTCAGTCAAATCTGGACAGGTTCAGGTTGACCTTATATTTCTAACACTCATACTTCTTTCCTCCAAATCCCAAATACACAATTCCAGTCACCCCTCAGGTTTGTATCCTTTCCATCCTACAGTCTACAAGCTTCAAATACCTTGTCTTATATTCTCGCCGGAATTTGGAAAAATGGGCAGTGATCTGACTAAAATCTATAAAATTCTCAGGGGACTTGACAGAGTGGATGCTGAAAAGGCTAAGTCTCCTTATTTACAAATAACAAAACAACAATACAGCACAGGAACAGGCCCTTCGGCTCTCTAAGCTTGTGCCGACACATTTTGCCCTTCCATACTAAAACTGTCTTCACTTACAGGATCCATATCCCTCTATTCCCTTCCCATTCATGTATTCGTCCAGGTGCTTCTTGAATGTTGCTATTGTGTCTGATTCCACCACCTCCTCTGGCAGCATGTTCCAGGCACTCACCACCCTTTGTATGAAAAACATGCCTCACACATCTCTTTTAAAAGTTCTCGCCCAACCCCCCAACCTTGAACCTGTGTCCCGTAATTGACCCCCCCAACCTGGGAAAAAGCCTCATACATTCCACTCTGTCCACGCCATTCACAATTTTATATACTTCTATTTCAGAATTTAATTAGTATTGGAGATTTAATCTTTTCCTCTGTGTTTCTATCTTCCTGTCTTCCATTATTTTCGCATGCAATGTAAACATCACTGGCTATCCCTGAACTGAGTTCCTTGCAGTTCCGAATCAAACACTTTGCTTTGGGTTTGGAGTCACATGTATGCCAGACCAGGTAAGGATGGCAGATTTCCTTCTCTTAAGGGCACTAATAAACCAGATGAGATTTCATGACAATAGCGCATGGTCATTCTTAACTAGCTGACAGTAAGATTTTTTTTAAAAATTACCAATTAAATTTAAATTCCATTTTTCCACGGCAAGATTTGCACTCAGGTATCCTAAGCATGAGCCTCTGCGGCTCTGGTCAAAATCAAATTTCTTCTAGCTTCTTGCTTTGTACTTCCTGATTTAGACTCTGCGTGTCTCAGTGTGGATCCCTCACACTGAGTTAAAATGTCACCTCCTCTGTTGCCTGCTCTGATGGCCACTAGATGACACCATCCTGGATCAGAGAAAGAGGAGGTTTTTACTCAACAGCCATGAAAACTCTGCAAGTAGCTGGTGATGGATTGAATGGGGCAGCTACTTCAGTGTTGAGCTCAAAATCTGGACGATTAAAACAGGGGGAAAAAAGTAGAGAAGCATTTCCCTGTTCATTTTTTTTTAAACTTAAGGATTGGAGTTGCCCTCAGACATTGTGATAATGAGAAGAACAGCCTTGTTAAGAGGCACCAAGAACAGGGCTTGGTCTACCATCAGCGAGATATCTGGGCTGCTGATGGAGTTTTGGGCATTCAGGGTGAGAGGAGTACACTTTTCACTGTACTCCTGTACTTGAGTACACTTGACAATAAAATCTAAATCCAAATCTAAAGATTTCCTTCCCTGAAGGCCATTGTTTTTATGACAGTTGATGATAGTTTCACAGTCGCCATGGGGGAAGCATGGTGCTCCGGTTTCTTCCCACAAGCCAGGATGTGCAAGTTCGGTGGATTGGCCGTGGGAAATACAGGGATTGGGTGGTCTGGGCGGGCTACTCTTCAGAGGTTCGGTGTGACCAAATGGCCTGCTTCCAAACTGTAGGGATTTTATGATTAGTGAGACTAGCTGGGTGGGATTCTGAACCCATGCCCATGTTTTCAAGGTGAGAGGAAATACATTTAAAAAGGGACCCAATAGCAGCCTCTTTCACATAGAGGGTGGCATGGACGCGGAGTGAACATCTCCAGGTGTCTAGGCCTTGATGCTGTAACATTCTTTCAGTAAACCTTTCCTTCCCATTTTCAGGTGCTCCACAAAACCTACCTCTTTGACCAAGCTTTCAGTCACCTCTCCATCTCAGCTTTTGACTGATTGTACTCTAAGGAAGCTCCTTGGGATGTTACAGCTCACCACATTTCGGGCCCTATATAAATGCAAGTTGCTGTTGTACACGGCCACCAATTCCACTTGGGTGCCTGTTTGGTTGAGGCCAAGTGGAGTTCTTGTCCAGTGCAAGGTCATAATAACATGGATACTACGGTCTAAAGAGTAAAGCCATGTTCTAGCTGGACCACGTTAATAAGAAAACTCATGTTTTCTCCAATCCTAACTCGCAAAATGAAGATTTAAATAATTTTCTTGGGAGTCACGAGACATCAGTGCTTTCAATGAATTTGCAATATACTGACCCACATTATAACAGACTTCCACTGTATTTGCCAATATTTGCAGCAAATAAAACCACCTAAGAATTGAGATTACGTTAAAAATGAGGTTTTCACTCACCAGAGATAACACAGTGTGGAGCTGGAGGAACACAGCAGGCCAGGCAGCTTCAGAGGAGCAGGAAAGCTGACATTTCGAGTCGGGACCCTTCTTCTGATGCTGCCTGGCCTGCTGTGTTCCTCCAGCTCCTCACCGTGTTATCTCTGACTCCAGCGTCGGCAGTTCTTACTATCTTTTCACTCACCAGAGTCATTTTTAACTTGTCTGTTGCATTTGAGTTATAGGATTCAATCTTCTGTCGGATCTCTTCTTTTGTAAGCACTTTCTGTGGCTCCCTTTCCTTTTCCACTTCCTGCGACAATAAAAAAAAGTGTTAAACAATGGCTTCAAGGATAGGCACAGCAGACAATTCCATCTGAACTCTCAGGAAAGGTCACACATTGGTCACCCACCTCAGGGTGAACTGAGGACACATTCCCTGGACTCCCTCACGTTCCCAGGCCAAGTAGGAGAAGGTAAGTTCCCTTCCCGGATGGGTTTTAGCGAAAGCAGCAGGTTTTGAGAACAATCCAGCAGCTTCCACGGTCGGTTGGGGATATTGTGATATACTGGTAACGTCATCCAGATTCTCAGGCCGCTGCTTCATGGGAATGGGCTCAGAATCCCACCCAGCCAGTCTCACTAATCACAGAATCCCTACAGTGTGGAAGCAGACTATTCGGCCTGTCAGGTTTACACCGACCGTCCAAAGAGCAGCCTGCCCAATCCCGGTGTTTCCCATGGCCAATCCACCCTCACCCTCTTCTTTCCTACCTTTTTCACAAAGATAGATTTTGTAAAACTGTCCTCAGTTCTGAAGAAGGGTCAATGGACTCAAAACATTAACTCTGCTTTCTCTCCACAGACCTGCAGAGTTTCTCCAGCCATTTCTGTTTTTTTTTCAGATTTCAAGCATCTGCTTTATTTTATACAGTTGCAAGTTTCAGCCATTAAGTACCTCTTTCTGAGGACTTCCTCACTCAATACACTGGCTTGGTTAGCTGTTTTATGATGCAGAATTTTTTTTTTCCCCCTTTATCCATTCATGGGATGAGGGCATCGCTGGCTAGGCAGCATTTATTGTCCATCCCTAATTGCCCAGAGGGCAGTTAAGACTCAACCACATTGCTGTGGGTCTGGAGTCACATGTAGGCCAGACCAGGTAAGGATGGCAGTTCCCTTCCCTAAAGGGCATTAGTGAACCAGATGGGTTTTTCCTGACAATCAGCAACAGATTCATGGTCATCATTAGAGTCTTAACTCCAGATATTTTATTGAATTCAAATTCCACCTTCTGCCATGATGGGATTTGAATCCAGGTCCCCGGGACATTACCTGGGTCTCTGGATTAACAGTCTAGCGATAATACCACTAGGCCATCACCTCCCCTGTGATGACACCAACTGTGTGGGATTGATTCCTGTAATGGCTGAGGTTTCCACAAAGCTCCTGCTTTCTCAACCTTGCCCCTTGTCTGAGGCATGGTGACCCTCAGGTTAAACTCACCCCCAGCTGTATCTTCCTCATGCAAGAGTGAGGCTCTGATCATTTTACCCTTAATTGAAAATGGTGTCATATTTTAAATATTAGTTGCTTACCAATGTTACAAGTCAGTTACTTTGAAATACTGGGGTGATTTCATTTTCTGTTCTTTAGTTCCCGCTACACTGTACCATCAAACACTCCCAGGACAGGGACAGCATGGGGTTAGATACAGAGTGAAAACTGAAAGAACTGTGGATGCTGTAAATCAGGAACGAAAACAGAAGTTTCTGGAAAAGCTCAGTAGGTCTGGCAGTTTCTGTGAAGGAAAAAATCAGAGTTAATGTTTCAGGTCCGGTGACCCTTTCCTCCGAACTCAGTTAAAATGATTGACTGTTATACTGAGTCCGGAGGGTTGCAGGGTCCCCAAGCGGAAAATGAGGTGTTGTTCCTCCAGCTTGCACTGAGCTCCGCTGGAACACTGCAGCAAGCCAGAGACAGAGATGTTGGTCAGGGAACAGGGTGGTGCGTTAAAGTAGCAGGCAACAGGTAGCTCAGGGTCTTTTTTGCGAGCAGAAGGAAGACGTTCTGCGAAGCTGTCACCCAGTCTATGCTTCGTTTCCCCAGTGTAGAGGAGACCACATTGTGAGCAGTGAATGCAGTAGACTAGATTCTGGGAAGTGCAGGTGAAGTGTTGCTTCACCTGGAAGATATGTTTGTGCCCTTGGATACTGGGGAGAGAGGAGGTAAATGGGCAGGTGTTGCACCTTCGCCGGTTACAGGGGAAGGTGCCGTAGGGCTGTGGGGAGGTGTTGGGGGTGATGGAAGTGTGGACCAGGGTGTCCCGGAGGGAACAGTCCCTGCGGAAGGTGGACAAGGGAGGGAAGTGGAATATGTGTCTGGTGGTGGCATCTCACTGGAGATGGTGGAAATGGCACCTGATGATCTTCTGCATGTGGATGCTGGTGGGATGGTAGATAAGTACAAGGGGAACCCTATCGCTGTTGAGGGAGGGAAGAGAAGGGGTGAGGACGGATGTGCGGGAGATGGGTCAGACCTGGTTGAGGGCCTCATTGACAACGGTGCTGGGAAATCCTCAGTTGAGGCAGAAGGTGGACATTTCAGAGGCTCTGTTGTCAAAGTTGGCCTCATCGGAACATAAGCGACAGAGATGGACGAACTGAGAGAATGGGATGGAGTCTTTACAGGAAGCAGGGTGTGAGGATGTATAGTCCAGATAGCTGTGGGAGTCAGTGGGTATTAGTGGCCAGTCTATCCCCACAAATGGAAACAGAAATGTCGAGGAAGGGAAGGGAGGAGTCAGAGATAGACCAGGTGAAAGTGAGGTCAGGGTGGAAATTGGAGGTGAAATTGATGAAGTTTTCCAATTCCACACGAGAGAGGGAAGCAGCACCAATGATATCGTGGATAAAGAGCTGTGGTTGGGGACTGGAACAAGGAATGTTCCATGTACCCCATGAAGAGACAGGCATAATTGAATAAGAGTCCAGACCAGTTTGGTCTTCCCAAGGCCAGCAAAAAAAAACAAGTCATCCTGATTGACACATTGTCATCCGGATTGTTGAAAAGCTCAACAGGGGGAAAAAAATACTTAATTTTTTAAAAATGAGTGGATTGCCTAATGAGGAAAGGTGGGGCAGTACTTGCCTGTTTCCTCTAGAGATTAGGAGAGTCAAAGAGATGATGTAACTGAAACAAGTAAGATCCTGAAGGGAGTTGACCAGCTGGATGTGGAAAGGATGTTTCCTTTTGTGGCAGAAACTAGAACTAGGGGGTCAGAGTTTAAAATTAAGGGGTTGCCTGTTTAAAACAGACGAGGAAACATTTTTTTCTCTCTGAGAGTCTTTGACATTGCCTTCCTCAAACGTCAACGGATGCAGGGGCTTTAAATATTTTTAAGGCAGAGGTAGATAGATTCTTGATTACCATGGAGACATGCAGGAATGTAGAGATCAGCCATGATCTTATTGAATGGGTGGGGCAGGCTCAAAGGGTCTAGTAGTCTGCTCTTGATCCTTGTTCATGAAATGATTCAGCTGGCAAACTGTGCACTGGGCCTGGAATAGATCAGCCTGGGCTACTGCACCCAACCAGCTTCCAGAGAAAGATGAATAAATTTTTAAATATTTCAACTGATCTTTGTAGAACTGGAACCGGGTGGAGTAATCCCCCTGACCAGTCCCGAATGCCCACTGACTGTGGGTGGGCACAAAACAAACACAACAGGAAACACTTGGCAACCTTTTAGATCGCTGGAAAGAATTAACACCACCATCAGACACTAAGGGATCAAATCAAAACACTGCCCATGCTGGAAATTTGAAACAAACACAGAAAATGAGCACAAGGAGCGAGGGTGATGTCAGAAAAAGCTTTCTTTTGGTCACACAGCTGGTAGTTAGTGCATGGCATGCACTGCCCAGAGGCAGATTCAATTGAGGCATTTCAAAGGGATGATTGGATGATTATTTGGATAGACAGAATATGCAGGGAGATGGAGAAAAGGCAGGAAATTGGCTCTGGTGTTGGCTGATCAGCCTGTTTCTAAATCGTAACAATTCTGAGAATGTCAGGAATCACACAACACCAGGTCATAGAGCTAGTAGGAACTGCAGATGCTGGAGATTTCTGATGAAGGGTCTAGGCCCGAAACGTCAGCCTCTCTGCTCCTATGATGCTGCTTGGCCTGCTGTGTTCATCCAGCCCTGCACCTTGTTGTCACCAGGTCGTAGTGCAACAGGTTTATTTGAAATCACAATCTTTAACAGCATCCCAGGTTTGTTTAATACATACTGATCAGCTGTGTGACCCTTTGATCTTTTACTTATAAATTCTGTGTCTGATACTCAATAACACCTGAAAAAGCAGGTGGACTATAACCTGGTGCCATGTGATTTCTGACCCTCTTCACAGGTTGTTGATAACACAGTGTGGAGCTGGATGAAGACCGCAGGCCAGGCAGCATCAGGGGAGCAGGAAAAATGGTTGAGAGTTAACCATTTTAACTCCCCCTCCCACTCCCTGGGTGACATGTCCATCCTGGGCCTCCGCCAGTGTCACAATGACTCCACCTGCAAACTTGAGGCGCAACACCTCACATTCTGCCTCGGGAGTCTGCAGCCCAATGGCTTAAACATGGAATTCACCAGTTTTAAAATCTCCCCACTCCCAGCCTCATCCCATGACCACCCCTCCCTCTCATCCCCGCCTCCTTGACCTGACGCAACCTGTCCATCTTCTCTCCCACCTCACTGACCAATCCCCACCACCCCCTACCTGCACTCACCTATCACCATCCCACCTACCTTCCCCAGCCCCACCCCTCCTATTTATTTCCCAGCTCCCTTCCCCCTCCCCCATTTCTGAAGAAGGGTCCCAACCCGAAACGTTGACTTTCCTGCTCCTCTGACGCTACCTGGCCTGCTGTGTTCATCCAGCTCCATGTTGTCTCCTGACTCTTCAGTTCTTGCTATCACAGGTTGTAGAGCCTGTAATACATGCATTTACCAGCAGAGGGAGTCCACTGGTTAGAGATAACAAAGAAGGGTCCATTCGTAAATAGCGCAGATCTAATTCTAAACATTTCTGTCTGAAAATGTATGTATTTCTGTCCGAAGACTAAAGAAGAGTCACTCGACTGGAAATACCAACTCTGCTTTTCTCTTCACAGATGCTGGCAGATCTGCTGACTTCCTCCAGCATTGTCTGGTTTTGTTTTGCTTATCCAAGAACATCACAGATAGTAGATAATTATGAATCTGACAGCTGAATGGTTTACCAGTGAGACGGTATACAAGTGTAAACTCAGAT